TTTTTCAGTGCTTGTGAAAAAAATTGTTATACAAATTTTATGTACCCCCTTTAAGGGGCTGTATCTTAACAAGGGATGCTCCAATGAAGTTTCTTTATATAAAAGATCCTATATTTTTTTCGATGAGGAATCACCTCCTTAAATGTTTTACACTTATTCAGTTACACCCTGTATAGTTAATCTATTTCTATTTGCCAGTTCCTCACGACATTCCCAGACCATTCTCATCTTCACTTTTGGGATCGCCAGCCTGACTGTCTGTGAAAATATTGATCTACTCACTTTGTTGAGGCCTCGATTTGATGTTCCTTTTGCATTGCAAGATTGCATTAACGTCAGCCTGGAAGACTGATGTGTACTGACCTGGCGGGTAATTGAAATGAACATTTTTTCCGCTCAGTATATTCCAGCTCCCGACCCATGTTTGGTTTTTGACCCGTCTCTAGACCATCTTGGGATGACTGTTTATTCTCACTCTAAGACACTAATCTCATAGTTTGTGTCGAACATGTATTCCGTTGATATGTGATCCGAGAACATGTTAGATTTTCATTTCTCCACATATTCGGAAATTTCTGTATTGCCCTGTGTCGAGTAGGTCGGTGAGTTTACTTGCCTAAATTGGACCTCCTTACTTTCCCAATTATTACAAGATGTAAAGGAGGACAATTCAAGAGTGTCTTCAATACAGCTGTTGGGGTAGTTTTCATTGAACCTGTTATTTCCAAACTTGCAAGTCTGTGCACCCTGCTCAGTTTATTAATAACGACAGTTTGTTTCATCTTTAGCCACCAGAACATTTATGCATATGTCATCATGGGTTTAACCACCATAGTATAGATCCGAAATATCATGTCTGGTTTCATCAACCATGTCTGTCGTAGGTTCGTCTGGCTAGCATCAGTGCTAACTCTTCTATTCTTTCTAGATATTGGTTCCAGGTCAGCCTGGGATTTTATAGGGTTTTTCATTAAGCACTTTCTATCTTTGAATTCAAATAAAACAAAGTGAATGTGAGGTATTATCGAAATTTTTTATTCGTTTGAAAGACCTATTGATGCCATTGTGTGTGGAATATCATTTAAATGTCCGCAACGGCTTCTCTGGGTGGGGCGTATCCGAAACATCCAACTTTCCATGACCCTGGCGCATAAATTAGGCTGAATTTGACCGATAGCATAGGTTATGTTGGCTTTGAGGACCGCTGTGGTTTGTGGCTTATTCGCTTACAACTGCGACTTAGAAAACCTCACAAGAAAAAGTTTAACTCACATCGCATGATCTCTGTGGCCAGTTTACATCACTTCCATGTGAGATGACCATGCCCGAAAATCGCTCTTGCAGAATATCCAAAGTGGCATAAACTGTGTGGCACGTGGCGCCGTCTTGTTGAAACCACCTGTCATCCAGAAATGGGCCTCATCGCTGAAGACGATTTTTCTATGAAAATTAGGGTCAGTTGCCAACTGATCCACACAACTGTCTACCACTCGTAGGTGGTAGACACAATTCATACTAATAAATCAAAAACATCCCGTGTTATTGTCTGTAAGAGATCATGTTGAGACATTGATCATATCTCATGAGCACACGCGTTTTAATCATGCGTAATCCAAAAATGTATTACAAACTCTCAGGTTAAGGCTCTGGTAAACATTTTGAAAAAGTCATAGAAAGTGTGTGATATGCCACAGGAACATGCTCATTAAATTATGGGCTCACTCCACCCTTTCTAAATTATGTCCATCCAACAAACAAAGTAACCCAAACAATGATAGATGCGTGATCAAATATGATCACCACGCACATTTGAATTTATTGGATAAAATGAACAAACCTCCGTACGCTGGTCAATCAGATTTAACTGCAATCGGCTGGCGGAATTCATTCAGGTATATCGCTACAGGGTCGGAGTGGTGAGTTATGTTTTAACGCCTGAGGTGTGTACATATACGGTACTTTAAAGTTTGAAAATTGTTAAATGTCAAGTACTGATACGGCTGACAAATTTTCCTGTACACAGCCGCATATTATTAGAAAAAATAAAATGAAATTTCGGTTGTTCCTTAGTGTGACTCTATACAAGCAGCACTATGCATGATAATGTTTTGGAGCACTCTTTTTGCTTAGATGGACAGAGTATGTAGAAATAGAATTCGCTGGACCAATTATGGTTGAGGAATCTAAATTAAGTAAATTTGTTACAACTGAAGCATATATGAAATATGCTGGAACTGGTTGGTACTAGATGAAAATCCATTATAACATATTGAAATAACAATTTACTATGGAATTTTAACACTTCATTGAAATATTTTCACTTGAACCCCTACTCGTGTTTCATTATGCTTCTTCAGGAGAGTTCATCACTAAATGGTAGTAAGAGATTACAGCCGGTTCTTGGTCTCTCCCACCAATATGACGTAATTAATGGCGTTTTGATGACTGATGATCTCATCAAGAAGACCTTAAAAAATGTGTCTGGTGCGTGGGTGTGAATAACGTCCTAGAAACATAATTCCCCACCACTTTTGATCTTGACTGATGTTACACGGCATTGAGCTAAGTGCAAGGCCATTTGACCTCGATTAGGGGGTTGACTTTGAGATTCGAGCCCACCGCTGTTGAGTGACCTTGAGGTTTGACCTTGTAGGACGTCTCACGACTTTGAGCGATGTACCAGACACATCCTGATATCGTCAGTCATTAAGATCCCATTGGTTACGTCAAAGTATTGGGGGAGACCGAGAATCGGATGTAATGTCTTACTTACGATTTATTGCACTCTTCCATTGCATGTACACTTAAAGTCGTTTACCTAGACAATATCATACAATTTTCAGCGATAATGCGATGAACTTTCATGAAGCCAAAAACTCACTCCGCGAAGCTCACAATGCATGAATTTCAACCAGAAAAATAACTTGGAAATTTATTCCATCAAACAGCCCACAAGGGGGAGTATTGTGGAAAGTGGGTATCAATTCAACCAAATCCCATCTCAAAATAGTGATGGAAAAAGTACCCTGTCTTTCGAATATCTAACCCCTTTGATCGCGCAAATCGAAGTCATTTTAAATTCAAGGCCGATATGTCTCATGTCATCAGTTCCATCACATTTGGGACTCAATATTTTTCTCGATATTCGAAAATGGAATAAATGGATGCCTGTCAATCTGAATCAATATGCATCAATCTCCTAGCGCTCTTTACGACTACTGATGAATATTAATAACACTGGTAAAATTATATGTTATCATACAAACCCAGTTGTGAGAATAAAACATTTACGGAAATGATAATAACAAAGATTCGTCAATATCTGTGTTCTGTGACATTGCTAAAGCCTTTGACTGTGTAGTGTAAATCATGAAATACTGCTGAATAAACTTTATCACTAGGACATCCGTGGAATTACTCATAATTGGTTTGAGAATTATTGTACAGGAAGTCAAATTGCCAAAACGTGATATCCTCATCAGTAGGTGAAAAATTGGAGTACCACAAGGTTCAATACTGGTACTTGTTGTATTTAAACACTGTAACATCTATCGATATAGAAAGAAAGTTGACACTATTTTCTGATGAGCCAGTGATATTATGGCGTAGCAAAACATTTTATGTAATCTCCACGAGATTATAAGCTCAGATATGAAAAAACCTGGTATGACTCTAATCTGCTGTCATTTAATATTTCTAAAACAAAGTGAATACCAATACGATGGTATATTGAGATACCATATTCAACAAATAACGTTGACACGATGATAGGGCTAATTCTAAATTTCTCGGGTTGATAATTGACGGTAAAGTTAAATCAGGTGATCATATTGTTACTCTCAATAAAAAACTAGCTAGAGGGCAATTTGCAGTGGGAATAACTGCCACCGAGTCGGCTCATTTCTCACTTCCTATTTGAAGTATGGAGCTCCCTTCTGGGGAGCATGTTGCAAAACCCAATTGCAGACTCCATCAGATTCTTGTTCGATTTGCATTGAATTTTGACAAGTCTTTGAAATATTTATATGAGAAACAGTCTGATCAATAAACATAAAATGATATTTAGCGGTTATTTCAATAATTATTCCCTTCGGCAAATTAATTACCTTATATTACACATATCAGCCATTATCTAGTGAAAAACTGTATATACTGTAACGGCCTCAAGTTGTTCAATCACTTACCTGGCTTTATTGAAGTCATAGAGGATAACTGTGAATTTCGGAAATACTAAAAGACTTATTGTGTGGTAAACCCTATTATAGCGGTTTCATGGTGGTTTTTTTAGAGACACTTTTTCTCATTTATTTGAACATTTTTATAATATTTTTAATATTTTGATGAGGTATTAACGTAGTATGTAATATAATTAATATATCTCAAATGATTAATTTATATTTTTCTAGGAAGTTCAAAAATTCACTCAGTATCTAGAGAAAGTCTCAGGAAGAGTTCCTATATCTCCGGAAGTGTATAAAAACTTATGGGAGAACATTGCCCACATTGTTACTCATACTTTTGTTCAAGGGTAAGAAAACATTTTGTAATTGTTTTATGTAGAACGGGAGCCCACGATGCAAAATAAGGATTTACTCTAGCGTCATTGATACATATTAGGTTGCAAAGCTTAGATGATAAAAAGAAAAAATGTTATATAATATATAACTTTTCATCGGTGGGGGAAACGGCTATGATTTTTAAATTTGTAAAAAAATACTGTTGCATGGACATACTCGAGCGCGTCAGATATTGATACCATCAATGTCCTACGTATTTTTAATTATGTTGGTATGTTAATCTGATCGTTTGCATGATGTGGGTGGTTGTACGTAAGGGTTAGGCTTGCGGAAATCGTCAGACTATATATATTTCGTTATCCTTGAATTATTTCCTTCAAAATAAAAAAAATTTGCTACGCTCGAGAATGTCGAAATGACGTTATTTTTTTACAACTTTGCTGTCCTCCCCTTTCTTTACGTTACTCTCAAATTGTCAGATTACTGGAATATACACTTTTTGGCAGGTAATTAACTCACCCTACCTTAATCTGACGCGCTCGAAAATTTCTGATGATCAATTATTTTTTACTAATCTGATCCTTTATCCCTCACAGGCGGCCTTGTATATGGGGCTCATATTTGGTGGGGGTACTTAACCGGGTACAAGGTATCCCCCTGTATATATCCCCCTGTATAATCTGCCGCGCTTTAGTAAATCCCGAAATCCCTGCTTGGGCTCCCCTATTAATGTAAGTTGATCTTTGGTTTCGAAGTAGGAAATACTACAATGATAATTCTATATATGGCATTATTTTTCAGTATATTCGCTATTAACAAATATCTAGATGGTATGTGTTGATCAACTCTTTTGAAGTTTACATGTACTTGGATTCGAAAAAAAAAAAACAAACCTATTCTGAAAATGCTAACAATTCAACATAAAACTATTGAACATCTACCATGATTTAACGTAAATATTAACGTACGTAAAATAACAAACCAATTAAATAATGAGAAAAAAAAAATAAGTTATATGTTCTTAAGACGACATATTTATTATAATATGTTACCCACGGAAATATGAAAATTAAAATTGATTCAGCATATTTCTTGTTGACACCAAATAACTCCTCAAGTGATCAAGTGAAATTGTCTACATATTGGTGAGAAATTATGAAAAGAAAATTGAAGTAAACTTACCAAGTGACGAAGACGAATATGGCTACCTTCCATTAAATCATCCAAAGACAGGCAAAGTGACCCAAGAAATAAAAAGGTTTTGTGAAAATATTACTTCAGAAGATAAAATCAATTACAATGTTTCACTATGATTGAGTTACCACTATTAAGGCAACCCAAACTTCCATTCAGTGTAAAGTTATCGTTTGGATTTGGACAAATTTTGGAAGATTTTCATTACTTCTCGAAGAAACTGAAAAATTCTGAAGCAGATGGAAATGTGTCGAAGAAAGAAATCATCAAGATATACAATTTCACAAAGTTTTAGAAGAGTTGATGAAAACTGTGAAATAGTTATAATTATCAGTTGACTTCATTTCAAAGAAATAAAATTATACAAAAAAGAAAACCGAGAAAATCTGAATGGTAAGAAAGAACTGGAAGATATTGTTCTGGAAAGCAAAAATTAAAAAAAATAAATTGAGCAGTGAAAGTGAATTCAAATTTCTCAAACATACAATCGATGAGCAAGTAAAACTGAAAAATATCATAGAAAAGGTGTGATTCAACAGAATTGAATACGAAATAAAAATTGTTAACAGTTGAATAAAATTTCAGAAGGATGATGTGAAATAGATTACAAGGAGAAAAAAAAAAACAAAGAAATAGGAGTTAATACAGTGAAAGTCACATTGAAAAATGAAGAAATGAAAGGAGAAATTACCCACCTTTCCAAAAAATGCTATAAAACTCAAGGATTTCTTGCATCTTCTGAAGTGGTACTGGAAGAAAAGTCATCTAATATATAGTGGGATCAGTAAACTGCATCACATAGGATTTTTTAATTCAAACTTTCAAAATTTCACTTTCACAAAATTTGACTTTGGCATCAATCTCTTCTTCGATCAAGATGAATAAACCCAAAACAATCAAGTCAAGTGATTCGATTTATCTGTCAATTTATGTCAATTTGAAAAAAATTCAAAATGAAGATTATGTCTCAAAATACCGAAAAAAGTTATTTGAAAAAGTTTTTCTAAATACAATTTCCTCTACACACAATGTACATAAAACTCCTTAGTTTCGACAATACTTAATCCCAGCTACGTTTTCTTCAAAGTGGCGCCATATTAAATGTGTGTTTTTCTACAAAAATTGGTCATAGGTGATAAAAAAACTATTTGCCTTTAATCCTGTACAATGTAAATTAACTTTTGAAAAAAGTAGTTTGTGTTTAAAATTGTCATGCGAATGCAAGTCCTCATTTTTCTTGAATCTGTTTTTATTTTCTTTCTTATATGTAATATGTATACGCTGGGCAAAGTTTTTATTTGTGATCTTTTATATAGGTCCTTTACATGTTGACAGTGAATAATTATACATAGCTCTTAATATTTTTTTCTGTGTTCTGAATAACTTATCAGCGTGTGGCGAGGAATACCAGAACACTAATCCATATTGTAGAACTGACTGAACAAGTCCATAATATAGTAATTGAAGTAGATTAAAAGAAACAGAGTCTCTGAACTGCCTTATCATGTAAAAACATGTGCTTAGTCTGGAGCATACAGTTTTTATATGGGCCTTCCATTGTTTCTGTAGCGTCAATTGATTTTCCATTGATATGTAGATTTTGGTCAGGCTTAATATTCCTTGGTAAAAACCGCATAAAATATGTTTTCGTCATATTTAATTGCAAATCGTTCTGAGCAAAATATTCATCAAGATCACTAGAGGCTCCATTAATATTGCATATTGCAGTATTTTTTTATGTCTGATGTGAAAATTATAAAGAACAAGGGTCTCAATATTGAGCCTTAGGGTACTCCACTGTTATTTGTATATGCTCAGATAGATAAGTCTTCACCCATTCAAAAGGTACTCCACGCACACCGATAACTTATAATTTAAGCAACAATAGATCATGGTCGATCATTTCAAACGCACGACTCACGTCGTAAAAAAGACGTAGTGCCAGCTTGACTAATAGAATAGCAGAAATTGCAAGAAGATGCAAATTCAAGATGGCTGCAGCTACAAAATGGCGGATTACATATCACCTTATAATAATGAGGCATTAAATGAACCAAACAGAATGAGAAGAATTTGGTAACAAAATTAGAAACTAAAAACTTGAGAATAAAATTAGTGAAACAAGAACTTATGTTTCACGGTTTTATTAAAAAAAAGATAATAATGATGTAGATAATGTACTAAAATCTAAAAAATAATTCGGGAGGTCCTAGGTAGTATTCATATGGGTTACGCTACACCCAAGGATTTTATAATTTTTTTATCTAATCAATACCGTAGATTGCTGAGGTGAAAGGTGTGATGACTGCTACCTCGGACCTTCTGATTAGTTTTTGGTACATTATCTACATCTTTATTACCATCTTTTTTTTAATTAAAGCGTTTAACATTTTTTTACTTATTTTATTTTGCCTACAAGATGAAGCAGTCAATTCATTCATAAAATTACGACTTTATGTCACGAATGAGTTGAAGCTACTCATGTAATCGATGACAGTATTTAATGACACTCGCTTATTTGATTTAATTCCAGCCATAGGAATCTTGTTCAAATTGAAAGGGGCATGCTTTAGGGAGAGATTGATTTTTGGGAAAGAAAGATTTTGGCTTTCTACTTCTTTATAAAAAAAAAGGATAAATAAAACACCAAAACCTCTCCCAAAAGTTAATCTCTCCCATTCAATTTGAAATTTTAATAGGTTTCATTTCATAATTTAATTTTCGTTACCATTCAATATTAATGTTATATTTGAATCACGAATCCCTGAATAATTGGCTATTTTATCCACCTTCTCAGAAGGGTATCCTAAACCTTTTTATTAATTAGTGTATTATCTTTAGTTATATATTTTTTGTTGTAGATTTTCGGGGGCAAAGAAATGTACAAATGGTGGCAGAGCTCTGATGCAACTTGATTTCGCACAATTTTTAATGAAATTTGAAAAGATATCTTCATTACGACCTGTTCCACACAAAGAATATGTTGAAAATTATGTTAAAGCCTATTACCTTCCAGATATTGAACTGGAAAAATGGTTGAGGGAGCATAAGGTTTTTCTTTCAATATTTAATAATCACAAATAAAGTACAAGAGTTTATTTTTACAGGAGTATTCTTCTGAACATCTCTTTGGCTTGGTGAGTTGTGCCTGTCAAAATAATAAAAAAATTAGACAGAGATTACTGCAAGTCATTGAGGATTTGGAGAAAAATCAGTTTGGCAGGTAACACTTCAAGAACATTTTGGAGGTTTGTGTCTTATTTGATTTAGGTGAAACTATTCTCTGTTATGTGATATTGTTAATGACAATTAATGTAATTTTAGTTATAGATGTTACACTGTTTAACCTTTCAAAGGTAATATTTTTACACAAAAATGGTGTTTGTGATAACATATATTAACAAACCGAAGTACCTAGTTATGAATGTACATTAAATACCAAATATATAAAACAAGTTGGTCAAAATGTTATAGTAATACAGGATTTGAAATATTAGGTAGATTGGTACAATGAAAGAATACACACATAACACCAATTTGTGCATTCAATATGAGTCCATAAACTATAAAGTAATGTGGTTACCGCCCTGAACGACCTAACTTTTTATTTTTGAAATACAATGTGTTTCAATTTTGGGTAGATTTCATAAAATTTCTCATTAATTCAATAATTATTTCATGAAAATATATCATTTTCTTTCTCTGATATCTGCAGTTTGAATATTACGGTATCACCGTTCCCAATTTTGAGGTTAAAAATTATAATTATGATATAAAATTCACCTACTGTGAAATATAAAATGCCCAGTTTTACATTTGTGAAAACAACTATTTGTGTAATATAAAACAAAACTAATCCGTAGCAACTTTTCAGTAAACAACATGGAAATAATATTAACTGCCAAACGATAGTAATACCGTAATATGTCATTAATTGGTCTCAAAATCTGATACATTGCCGGCAACTCTCGTTTGTATACCTGTCTCTCTTTGAAGAACTGAGAGCAAGATATCAGCCAAAGAAGAGCTCTCTTTTTCATTATTATTAAATTCATTCATTATTGAATTTCTTGAAAGTGTTTGCTACTGAAATTATTTTCGAATCTGACTTATTGTTTGAAAGCATCTATCGAATGCATATTAATTTATTTATAACATACTCTGAAAATCAATTTTGTAAATCAAACCTGGTGATTACTTATGGTTGATAAAATAAATTGTGGCTCTACAGTGTCTTATTTTATGTAACCTCTTATTGCCTATATCAAAAAAATCATCCATCAAATATTATTTACAATCCTAGTTAATAAAGGGGTGGAAATTGCCTACCACGAATTCTTCTTAACCTACGAATACGGAAAGGTAATTATTAATTATTGAAGCCTCACCACCAAACCGTTTTCAACTGAATATTCATCACCGAAATCTCATCAGTTTGTCCTAAACGGAATAATTTTTAATTGCAAATCGAAAAGCTGACTTATATTAATAATCTAAATTCTACAATTCGGTTATCAACAAAGTGAGTTCCTGGGGAAGTTATTTTAGGATGAAGAAAAGAGAATTGAAACTTTATATGTTTTTTACTACTTTTATTTGTAAGTAACGTTACTGTAGTTTCGTCCTGTAAGGATGTTTTCAAACTCATACATCAAACTAACAATGGTTTATTCCATTAGCTCTTATATAGCACCCTTGTAGGTAATAATAGAGGTACTTGGCTAGAAAGTTTCAATTCTCTTTTCTTCATTATGATTTCCTACCACGTAGTAACGCTACATTCATCAATTTATTGAAAGAAGCAACTACAGCTAGACAAGCCACATACTACTTCAAACTAAAAATGAAGTACCATCAAGCATCGCAGAATTTATGGTTCAACCAAGAGTGTCTAAGAAGAAAAATTACCCCGAAATACATTAACACAGGACCAGGACAAAAGCACCAGCAGCGAAGAAGGCGATAATGAAGGCAAGAGTGATCTGGCTAAAAGAAGAGTGCAGGATACTGTTCTCAAAAAGGAGTATCCTGCAACATCATTTGAAGGTATTACATTCTGAACTTACTTATAAACTTCACCAGATACAATGTGACATTTTTTATAACCTAGTTAGGTCTACAATTAGTGATTTCATATACCGGAAGTACCAAACTCAACTCAAGAAACTTAGGGCATTAATACAGAAACAACAACATATTATAGACAGCGAATAAGTCGAACCAGATATCCAGTTCAGCCAAATCCAGTTGACCAAAGTAGAGTAGATATATACCAACAATAATCAATAAAAACATTTTGGATACATTGATAACAGATACAGCTATTGCATTGAAACAGACAGATAATAGAGGTATAGGGGCATACAAGATAAATGAAGTAATTCAGGACCATTCATTCTCTTTATCAAACAGTAGAGAAACAGTCATAATAAAAACTATTCAACAAAAAATAAGAAACAATGATCTTGTTTTCACGAAAGCTGATAAATCGTTATCCATCGTTATCCTTGAAGAGAAAATTGAATCAGTCATTCAAAATAAAAACCTTACTATCATCAAAAAAGACCCAACGAAAAATAGTCAAAATGAACTGAAAAATTTCCTCTCAAATACTAAAATCATTTTCACGGAATCAGAGAAACGGAGAATCACCAAAATGAACCCCTATTGCCCTAAACTATATTGCCTAATAAAAATACAAAGAGGATAACGCCATAAGACCGGTAGTTTCGTATATAAATAGTCCGGTACGATAACTAGGAATACGTCTTAATAAGTTGTTCAAAAATATTATCAATTTCGTCCCACCTCACTATACGGAAATTTTGCACTATGCAAGGAAGGATTACAAACTCAAAAATTTAGAATCCTTAGAAATTCGCATAAACATTGCAGGTACAACCTGTTGAATGATCAAATCGATTTAGTTTACTCACTGGTTTTCAAATTAGCACATCCGCATTGTAAATGTAAATTCAGGTACACTGGATACATGGATGGTAGGTTCTATGGTTTTCTAACTATAATAATGAAAACTATTCAATAAGATATCATTTTCAATGCTCCGTTCTGGATAAACTTCATGAATTTTTTAAATGACATATTCCAAAAATTATTACTGGACAGAATTCATGCAAGTACATGTGAGACGTATATATCGTGGACCAGATCAGCGAACCATATTCTAATCGTGATCTTACATGCGAACTGAATAGAGCAGCAGAACTTTTGTCATTGCTGTGATCTCTACGAATTCTGAAAATTAATTCCAGCATTCCCTACGCTGCCGATAGACTGTTTTGTCTATGAATTGAGAAGCTTAATTCTGAATCATAAAAAACCAAGATTTTTATGTATATCCAATAGACATAACTAATCTTGCCTATTTGAATAATTGTAATCTATAAGTACAGTTTTGTAAGTATATCTACAATAATGATGACATTTCTGTATGTTGAGGGGTAATTTGTTTTTTTCGCAATAATCTGTTGAGCATTATATATCGTTCTGAAATAGCAAGTTGAAATTCTTTCTAGAATACTGATATTGTGTGAGAAAAAAAGTGGTCTTAAATTATTTCCCTGAAGAACGCGGCTAGTGACAATGAAAGACTGTGACATATGATCTCGATATTCCGCATACTGGGATACTGCATTAGACTTGTGTTAAAATCAGGATGGTCTAATTTTATTGACGAAACTTCGTGATCCAGGATCCAGTTTATCAAAGGCTTTTGCAAAATTTGTGTATATAGTGTCTACTTTATTCTGTTTTTTGATTGCATTGCTGTTTTGGTAAAACAATTGAGATTAGTGATAGATCTTTCATTTCATTTGAATAATTATGATAGTGATAAATTCGTTAATCTCAAGAAACATGACATGTTTATAGTAGGGAAAATGTAAGGCACACATTGAAAAAAAGGACATACTGAGGATAACACAAGGAATAAAAATATTCAAAACTAACAAATTGACAATATATTATTTTTGGTATTCACAAATTTAAGCATATCATTCACACATTCGAAATAACTAATTGGTTACAAATGAAATGCATTCCTAATATGTTTTATGTTGTTATGTTTGTGTTATTTTATTTCATGTTTATCATGAAATAAAATACAGAACTGATTTATATCCCCTTAACTTGAGATATAGAAATACTAATTAGAGTCTTACTATACCTTGCCACCATACTGAGTTTTTCAAACGATCGTTTTATTATTGTATTGTTGACCGTCTCAATCACTTACCTCACGATTTCAGTTACTCATCGATAAATAAACTCAAACGAGTTCTTTTTGAATATTATTTTTCTCAACAATAATACATTATTCGGAATGAAAAACCTTTATTTGGTCAAGTAATCGCTGAACTTTCATTCTTTTTCTATTGATTTGATTTGATTTATTGCTTCATTATTCTATTTGCTGTCTTTGACTTCTTTCTTGGGGTTAGATGGAAGAGCAGATGTATGTTAACTGTTGAATTATATTTCATACTAGATAACCCTGCGAACTTCGTTCCGCCTTAGAGGCAATAAAAAAAGTACATTTTTGATTTTATTATTTTAATTTTTTTATTAATCAAGTATTTCAATTATTCTCTATTAGGTTGCACTCACAAACTCAGATCACAAACTTTCAAGGATTGGACTTGTGATTTGTTAATGGTTATGGCGAATGCAAGACGAATTGGAAATTAGAGTCTTTTAAACTCAAACGGCATATCGGTTGGGATCATCGGGATTCTCGGAATGAGAACTTCCTCAACTTCGAATTTTCCTTTGAGTATCGTCGCAAATCACATTGTTCATCAATTTACTTACCACCAAACGTGTACCGTTGCAAAGTTTTGGTGGGTATTTGTTTTGAAATATGATTACTACGGAGCCAACCTTCAGGCGTAAATTGTGCGGTGGTAAGCCAGGCACATCCAAGGAGTTTAAAAATTCAATTGGATAGTTGGTGGCTTCATCTTCATTTGTTACACAGTCAATTGATTTGAATGAATGCATTGTTCCAATGATATCATTCTGAATTATGTAGTTTAGGTCATCTACATCTTTATTCTTAGCCGCTAACACTTCTCGCTCACTCAATCATTCATTATTTTTGTAGTTAGTAATTATGTTTGGGAAAACTTTGCTGATAAGTTCGTTTTAATTCTGACGATTACCGATAGTCAGCAATTGCTCAGAGAAATCTTCAGCAGATGTATCATTAAGCAATGCAACTCTCATGTTTGTTGTCAGCTGAAGTTTCTTCACATAGCGC